AAGTTGAATTGATTTTTATTAAAAGGATAAACTTATGCACGATCTTAATTGTTGAATTATTATGTTTATTCTTGTGCTACAATGGAGTACCACTCAGCGTCAATGCTGAGCGGATAGCGTTGTTTTCTTTTGCTGTCCGTAGGTGATCAGACAGATGAACCTAGAGCCGATCCCAGAGGGCATTGAGGAGGAGATGTACGATGGCGTGGCTGTCTCTTTAATCTGTTGATTATGCTTTATTTAATTAACTTTAATGCTTATTACGTTTTTGGGCAAGATCCCAAGTTGTTTGACTTTAAAAACGCTTCCGCATTATTTTAAATTACTCCGATGGATTTTCATATGTATTGAAAGAACGTTTGTTTAAAATTGTTTTGAAAATGTCGCAAATTCGAATACCAATTTAGTGGCACACCGGTCCGCTGTCTCATGGGTTTGGGTCATGCGGGTTGGGGTGTTACATTTTGGTATCAGAGCATTTGGTTTTAAAATCGGTCTTTGGACCCTTTCAAAAAAAAATACAATGAATAATTCAGCTGCATCTGCATCTCACGTAACTCCTCTGCCCCGGGAAGGTAATAAGTATTTATAGCTTTATCTGTTATGTGTTAAGATCTGACGTGAGAATTTCCTTATTATTTTAGAATGAGTCAAGAATCGACCCACGGTCAGTACGTTCCGGAGCCGGAGCACGTGAGCGTGCACATGGCGAACACCGAGGGTTCGAGTTTCACGCCTCCGGGTGACGGAGGACAACAGCAGAATCAACCTGCGCCAGCGGGACAGCCACTAGCTGTACCACCGCCAGTAGTACCACCGCCAGTGATGCCACCGTTGGCGATACCGCCGGTGGCCTACGAGCAGATGTTCCTGGCCATGATGGCCCATTATATGCAGCACATGGCGCAGTTTATGCCCATGTTCCAGCCACCGCCACCACCACAGCCGCAGCCGCGCATTGTTACCTTCAAGATGTTGAAGGATAATGGAGCGGAAGAGTTCCGAGGAGACAACATGGGGGAGCCCCAGATTGCTTTGGATTGGCTTGAGCAGATGGACCGGGTACTCAAGAATTTGAGAGTCCGAGATGCTGATCGCTCGGAGTTGGCGTCACAGATGTTCCGGAAGGGAGCATATGATTGGTGGAAGCGCATTGACCAGGATCCACACACGCCCAAGCCGTGGACCTGGGATCGCTTCGATCGAGCCTTCACGAAGGAGTACGTCCCCACCCGGTACCGCGAAGAGAGGCGCGATGAGTTCGTTGCGCTTAAGCAGGAGGGGATGTCACTGCCTGAACT